AGGCATGGCAAAAATAGTAAATAAGACACAACACCTAATTACTAAGAAGCAGTCAAAAGAGGCAATTTACAATGGGGGCCTGTGTAAGGCTGCTACAAAAAAAAGTGTTGGAAACAGTGAAGTCTAAAGGAAAGTGTATCTTCTGACTAAGGCTTTTCAGTGGAAATGGCATGGGAAATCCCATGAGATCTTGCAATGAGCCTGTTATTGTATATTCTGGAAAGCCCAGCATTTCCTGTCTCAACAAAGCCGGCAGTTTGTCACAGACATTTCCTAACTGCCACGAGATATAAATAATATTACTAGAAATTCTTATACTATTAGAAACGGACAAAGAAGCAATAGCATTTTTTAATCAAAGACATGATGTTACTGGTATCACTAAGACATTAGGCAACTGGGCCATATTCCTGCTCTCATTTATGCCAGTGTATGCCTGGTAACTCCATTAAAATCAATGGAGTTCCACTGGCTTTACTATGAAGAAAGTGACAGCAGAATATGTCCATGTGCATCTCCAGGATATCTATGTCTCCTAGAAAGAAGTTCATGTCCAATGATGATCTGAAGTAAATCATCTTATGTACATATCCAAACACAAAATGGTCAAGACCGAGATAATCCAATTAGATGGTACTATTAACGTGATTTCAGAAGAACCAACACATGAATCCAACTTACCATGGTTGCACATAAAAATTAAGTAACTTGTGCACAACTTCACCGAACTATATCTCAAGATGTGAATGCAATGGCACTGCCTGCTGGCTACCCCCTCACACTGCAGCTCTAGGAGCCCAGGCAGCCTCAACAATCCAGCTGTCTTCTCACTCTTGCGCCGTATAAATGGTATATAGAGACTGTCACGTATTGGACTGTTCTAAGACCAGATATTCAGGACAGGCATTAGACCAGGGGTCGGCAACGTTTGGCACGCGGCTTGCCAGGGTAAGCACCCTAGCGGGCCGGGCCAGTTTATTTACCTGCTGATGCGGCAGGTTCGGTCGATCACGGCCCCCATGGCCACGGTTCGTCATCCCGGGCCAATGGGGGCCGCGATCGGGCAAACCGTGCGTGTGTCAGCAGGT